TTTTATAGTCTGCAATTTTTCTTTAATTACATTTTATTTATTTTACATTTTAATTATTATTATTAATTTAACTTCTCAAACGAGAGCGTATAGTTTTTGTTTTGAAAGCCAGTCCCGGAAACGGCGGGGGGTCTCGCGTTATCTTGACTCTTGTATTTGCAAACAACGGGAGTGGGCGGGGCTTGTCGATGCCACTGGACTGTGTGCCCAATGCAGCGGTGAGAGGCTCAATGTGAGGAGCAGCAGCGGCGGAGGCAGACGACGACAACGACGACGACGACGAAGAAGAAGAAAACAACCGTCTCTCTCTGCTACTTTACTACCCGACCTTTAAAAACCTCCACTTTAACCACACGCGAAGAAGAAACCTCGACATTTTTACTACCTTGTTTGTCCTAATTTTTTTTACCAGACTTGACCTGTCGCGTTGTTTCCTTCTGCTACTACCAGCAGCACCTGCTCCACACAGGGACTTATTTCCCCGTTTTTAAGGGACAAAAACGGAGGGAAGAAAAGTAGGAAAACAAACTCGCGACAAGACGAAAACCTTGAAGATTAAGAAGTAAGAAATGGAAGTGACCGAGAGAGCGGGACAGTGATTCAACCTACAACCTGCTGTAGTGGAGACGAGGAGCGGTTTGAATTTGAATGAAAATCTGTGGATAAATCCAGTTTGTTTGTGTCGCGGATGGTGTCGTGTTCCGACAGGACGGAGGAGCTGACAAACATCCTCGACCTCCTCCTTCTGTGTTCCCTCTCCTCCCGTGACTCCTCCACGCCTTTCCACCATCGACACCGGCTGCACCGAAGTTGGAGAAGTTTCCAGTTTGTCCAGTGTTTAGCTTCTCCTCCTCCTCTTCCTCCACCTTCGGCTGCAGTGTTGTGACACCACAGGTTCCCGTTTCTCCACATGGACTCAGGTCCACCTTGAACCACCAGCGCCACCTGACTTCATAATTCGAGCCGACAATCCGACGCAGCTACTTTGTTTCGTACCAGTACCAGCGGAACCGACATGGAGCCGACACACCTGGGCTTCCTACTCCTCCTGGTCCGCCTCCTCCTGAGCTGGGTCTCTGCAGAAGAAGGTAGGTCGTGTATTTATTTATTTATTTATCTGCCTCCTTGTTTACCTCCTGAGCTCCTTCATTCTACGTGATTTTTTCCTTTATTATCGTCATTTTTCTTCTTTAACTTTTTCATTTTCTTTCCCTTCTCCTCTTTCCTCATTTTAATGCTTCTCCATCTTCTTGTTCCTCCATCTTCTTCTCCTCCTTTACCTACTTTGCTGCTTCTGTTTTTTCTTCTTTGTCATCTTTTTCTGTTTTCTTCTTCTTCTGTTTTCTTCTTCTTCGTCTTCTTTGTATCTTCATCTTCTTCTGTTTTTTTCTTCTTCTGTCTTCGTCTTCTTCATCTTCTTCGTCTACTTCTTCGTGTTCTTCTTTCTTCTTATTCTACTTCTACTTCTGTCTTCTTCTTCTGTCTTCTTATGTCTTCTTTGTATCTTCGTCTGTCTTCGTCTACTTGTTCTGTCTTCTTCGTCTTCTTTTGTCTTCTTCGTCATCTTCTTCTCTTCTGTCTTCTTCTTCTTTCTTCTTCTTCTGTCTTCTTTGTATCTTTGTCTGTCTTCGTCTGTCTTCGTCTTCGTTCTTTCGTCTTGTTCTGTCTTCTTCATTGTTTCGCAATGATGTGAGATATATTAGGTAAACAATGCTTTTTAAAATATACATTTTCACTTTGAGATGGTAGTATTTTCTAATAACGCTTAATCTTAAAAATAAAATCTTGAAATGCAACATGGACACTGCGCAATGTAAGCTGTACATTTTCTTCACCAACCACTATAGGTGCCAGCGTCTTAGTAAATGGATTTGATTTTTTAATTTTCAAAATAAAATAAAAATAAATAAATAAAAAATAAAAATACCATGGAGACTAATGTCAACTAAAAGAAGAATCAAACTAATACTTTTTATTCATTGTTATGAATTATTATTATTATTATTATTATTATTACCAAAAAATTCCTGGTTTTTGGTTTCTGCTGCTGGTGGAGCTGCCTGGACTTGTTTTCTGTGGTTACACGGCTGAGTGAGATGTTCAATTAGAGTTACATCCTGTTCCTCTCCAGCGGTGAAGTGCTGTAAAACCACAAGTCACTTTAAAAGCCTGCTGTTCCAGCATCACACAGGATCTGGAGCCCAGATCTCTGGAGGGTAATCACACGGGGGTCGCATCGGCAGGAAACCACTGCCACTGCGGCCTCCTCGAAGTCGTTGTTGTTGTTGTTATTGTTATTATTATTATTAATGGTTGGTAGAGTTAATAATCTGTGAGTAGTTCTGTGAATCTCTGGTCTGTTCGACCAAAAGAATAATCTGTGAGTAGTTCTGTGAATCTGTCTGTTCGACAAAAAAATTCCTGGTTTTTGGTCGACCTGAGTGGTCGTAAAGTTGGTCACAAATCAAATAATTAGTTGGAGAAAATTAAAGGAAATAAAATCAAAATTTTATCAGCCAATAGTAAAGTCTGTAGGTTGATATTCAGTTGATCTGTTGGTTGGTTATTTTCGTCTCGGTAACGTTAAAAACTGCTGTATCTCCTCGACTCCTCAAATGTTTTTCTGTCTTTCACTTTCCTGTAGTTGAGGAACTGTATCTCCTCGACTCCTCAAATGTTTTCTGTCTTAAATACATTGACATATTAATATCTGTTGCACTTTTTTTTTTTTAAAGTAATTTAATAGAGGATCAGTTTAGTTTAAATAAACACCTGTCAAACCGTTGACTGACTTATGGATGTGTCACCGTACTTATCCTCCTCTGTGATCCGTTGGCCTGGAACATATGGAGATAAACTGTATAATTACCAAACACTGGTACATTGTTTCCCCTAATCCCTGGTTCTCAGCGTAGACAAAGCTAACAGTGTATTTGTATAGTAACGTCACACTGCGCGCACGTCGATTTCAACACTCGGCGTTTACCTGAGGAACAGGTTGAGATCTCGGCTCAACAAGGCCCGACAGATCTGCTGTTATTGGCACCTGTGGACTTGGCAGCTGTGGATCAGAACTCAACAGTAAATAATAAAATAAGAAGAATGGCTGTTGGCTCAGAGGAGGCAGCACAGCTGTTCATTTTTAGTTTTTTTTTTTTTTTTTTTTTCTAGACTTGGAATTGATATTAGAAGGCCAGGAAATAATGATCAACCTGGGGTTTGGGGATACTGGAAGGGCCAGCCCCCAGAGTTGGGCTGTTATGGAGATCTGAAGTTGCTGTCTTCATGAATCCAAGACAGTTTTTTTTTTTCCCCCCCTCGAGTAGAAAAGTTTATTTTATTTTTTCTTTCCATTTTCTTCATGTCATTTTCAGAGCTACTTCTCTCTGGAGACTCAGTCACACTGATAGTTAATCCTCAGTCTTACTTTCCAGCAGCCACGGTTATGACCTTTGTCAGTGCTTTTTTTTTTTCTGCAGCGCCGCCCTTTTGTGTAAAAGAGATATTGTTTCAAATTTCCACTGAGCTGTAATTCCTACGAGCTGTTATTGAACAACGACAATAAAATCACTAACGGGTGAGTTCCCTCCTCGTCTGGTGCCGATCACAGAAAATATTGGAAGTTTAACTTCATTTACCTTGCGGTAGCTACGTGCCCCTGGGGGGCGCTTTTCCCCCCACTTTGGGAACCACTGAACCAGATTACAGTCTATGCGGTTGCTGCACTTTTTTTGTTTAGCTGATATTAGCATGATAATGTCGTGATAAGGTAACGCAGGCGCAAGGATACAGAAGGTTTGATATCAACATCTGCCAGTCAAAATACAGTCATAACCAGTGCAATATGTTCTGTGTTCATGTTAAACTTGTCGATCTCAGCACTTTATGCTGTATTCGTGTTTTTTTTTATGTTTCAAAATTGCGTTTTTGTGTTGATCTCCGTTCTATTCAATGCTGCAACGGTCAATGTCTCCAGTCAGGGATCAATGAAGTTTAATTTAATCTAATGTAATCTAATCTAATCTGATCAAAGATATATCGAACCAGCACCAGTGGTTGTTGGTTTTGTTGGGTTGCTGGTTCCTATCTTTTACTTTTCTCTCATCAGTCCACAGATAAGTGGAATTATTGACGGATTCTGTCTTTATTTTCGACCTTTTCTTCCACTAACTACCACCTGTGTGTGTTTTTTTTGTTTTATTCCTATTCAAACTGAACTCACTTTGACGCCGGTGAAAGGTTTTCTTGGTCGTTTCCTGTTCAGCCCTTGACCAGTTCAACCTGGGATCAATACTAAACCGTTCAAAGTGCGTGGGTTAATAGATGGCTGAAGTGGTTTCTGTCGAAGTGATGTAGAGCTCCGGAGAAGATAGTGTAGCGTTTTACATTAAACTCCCAGCCTCCAGTGTTTTTCATCAAACGTTATTTGAATCTGAAATGTTGTCTGACCCTGGGGGGGTGGGGGGGGAGGAGGAGGAGGTAGAAAGAAAATACAGGGAGACAGAAATTATACATCATGCTGTTAAAAGAAAATGATGGTTGTGGAATTGTCTGGGTTTACGGGCGAGTGTGGCCGTGTCTCCTGGGCGAGGCGAGCGAGTCTGAATCATTTGCTTAATGCAGAAGGTGGAGGACTCCGGTTCCACTGAGCCGCGGTGACAAATCAGAAGGCTCGGGATTCAATTATTTTTTTAATCTCCGCTCATGTTGCTGTTTTGGAGACATTAATAGGGGATTTTTTTTTTTTTTTTTTAGCTCTACCGTGGCTGCGAAAAATGATCGCGAGCAAGGCGAGACTGTTCTGAAAAAGAAACTTTTATTAAATTTTTTTTATTTATTTATTCGTATAAACGATCCGTGGAAATAATACCAGCGAGTCTGCCGTGGATCAGAGGATCACTGCCGGGCCTCAGACTTTCAATGTAGCTGTTGCGTCGTCTGTGAGGTTGTTAGGACTGCTCAGTATTCTCCATCACACTCTTTTGTCCCAATGATGCAATTTGGAAGGGGATTAAACGCAGCTTCTTATGCAGCGTTAAAAAAAAAAAAGCCAGCGAAATGAGAACTTGAGTCGACTGGTTTGGACTTTAACAAAGAGAGGAAGAAAAACCCTGGCGGGGTTCCACCACGTTCTGCTGCCGTGGTTAGTGCTGATGATGGTGTTAGTGGTGGTGGTGTGTAAGAAATGAATACATTTGCCGTGAAAATAAAAACAATGGGTCCTGCAACAATGGACGTCTTCCTGAAGTTTGCCTCATGCAGCCAACAGTTTCTGTCAACAGGAGAAACTAGATCCACGCATGGCTTCACATACACTGTGGCAGGAACAGGGTTCTGTCAGATCAGGTCTCTGCCTCCGAGGTGGGATGTTCTCTGCTGCTGCTGCTCCTCGTATTTTCATTCCTATATGTGAGGATTTGCAGTGTGGCTTCTCCTATACACTCTATACATGGACGTGGCCTTTGTGTCATCACTCATGGATTTGGATTTGTTGGGTGAGACTGCACACACACACACACACACACACCTATCAGAAGATGATGTTAAATCATTGCAGCCACTAAGGAGCCCAACTCTTGCGGGAAAAACCATTGTTGACTTTGTATGTCATGAGTGAAGAGCGGGATTTTCCCAGACCCATTATTTTTCTTTTTTACTCTGCGTAGGGTTTTAACACACATGTTTATTGTTCTTTTTTTTTCTTTTTTTTCTTTTTTTTTTCTGGCTGAGGGACTTTGGGGATACTTAACCTCAAATCTGTGTACGGGAAGTGATGTGCTGTAGGTCACTGCAGCCGGAGTGGGTGAAAAAATAGAAGTCGGTTTTAGAACAGTGGCTGTTGACTTTGCTCTGCGTTCCTTCTTGCTGATGTTGACAAGATGTGGCTTCCAAAGCCCCCTTTTTTTTTTTTTTTTTCCGGGGAATGTGGTTAGGGTTCAGTTTGGTTCAGTCAGTCGCGTCCCAAATATCTGTCAACAGGAATGATGTTATTTATTAAACACAGTCGTTAATATCATGTGATAACAGGCGTCACAATCATCAACGTATGATCACTACAAGAAAAAAAAAAAAAAAGAAACTCAAATCA